TTATCTATTAAATGAACACTAAAGACCCTTTTGTTTAAAGCATTTTTAAATTAATATGTGTGATTTTTCTATATTCTACTTAAATTTTAAATTTCTGTTTTAGCTTTTATCAGCTGGAATCCTGTATGTAGCTGCACAGGTGTAACAGAATGTTACACCTGCAGATAGCTAGAATAGTGCTAAGGTAGAAGCACTTCTGCTGGCCAAGCCTAGGTGCTCGCTAAAGGGACAGATCCTGAAGCTGAGGCTTCAATACTTTGGCCAGCTCATGAGAAGAGTCCCTGGAAAAGACCCTGATGTTAGGAAAATGTGAAGGCAAGAGGAGAAGGGGACGACATAGGATGAGATGGTTGAACAGTGTCATTGAAGCAACCAACATGAATTTGACACAACTCCAGGAGGCAGTGGAAGATAGGAGGGCCTGGCGTGCTGTGGTCCATGGGGTCACGAAGAGTCGGACATGACTAAATGACGAAGAGATGACAGGTGAAAGTAACTTTCAGATGTGAAAAATCCTTTTCTCATAATTTGGCTTTCTTGCTTTCAAATAAAGTGACATCTGATAATTGCATATATGTGTTGTAGAATCTGGGGTTGTTAGTTTTAATGTTAACACAGCCCAACACATTAATTACTGCCATTGGTCCTATAAAGCAGTGGTCCCCAACCTTGGGCCTCCAGATGTTCTTGGACTTCGACTCCCAGAAATCCTGGCCAGAAGAGGTGGTGGTGAAGGCTTCTGGGAGTTGTAGTCCAAGAACATCTGGAGGCCCAAGGTTGGGGAACACTGCTATAAAGAATAAAGAGGAAAAACTGTCCAAGGAGAAACTGAAATTTCCAGCAGCTTCACAAAGAACAGCCTTTGTCAACCAATGGGGCTCCTGCACATGACCTCACTCTTGGAATTTCATTGACATTTAAGAAATATCCTTAAATAAGAGCAGAACAGGGTGGTGGAAACTGGACAAAGATCTAGGCTTAAGTGTTGGTTGATATATCTTCTTAGGCATCCTTCAGTCTCAAGAGACTATGGTAACGTGCTCTGTATCGAGGACTTGGAACAGCGTCTAGTGTGGCTGAAAAGGCCAATTCGAGAGTGACAATCCTTTCCACACTGAAGGCAAATACATGATATATAAACAGATGGAATAATGACTGGGGATGGAAAGTGGCCAAACCACATTAAACAGGCTGCATTAGTAAAAAGTTGTGGTCACCTGACAGAAAATATATCAACAGAAGAGGGAGCGAAACAGAAAATATGTGAGAACCTCTCCCTGTTCTGTAGAAAAAAGAGTTATAGACTGGATTATTCTGGCTTGATACCACCACTTGCCAGAAAGTTGGCATTTAATGGTATCTTGAACAAAACAGAGTTGTATTTCTGCTCTAAATGAAGTGGAACTTGGGAGCACTTTTCGTTGAGAAATTCTGGGGGTCCATTAGGTGTTTGTGGTCCATTGGGTATTTGTGGACCTTGTCCCAGGCAAAGTAGACAGTGTTATTTATATACTGCCACAGAAGCGGGGAAAACAGAAGTCTCATTCCTGTCTGTTTTCTTTCCTTGTAATTAATGGTGATTGTTCATTCACACAGTTGCCATAATTTGGAGGCAACTTGACAGCACATAACAATAACAAACAAATAGCTCAAAGGAGAATAGGGATATGAATGTTACTCTTCCATTTCTCAACACTTATATTCTCACGAATAAGCAAAAACTGAGAGTAAAAGTCCAGTTCACTGGGCAAATTATGTGACAGAAAACTGAAGAACAAAACAAGCTGCCTGCAGGGAATCAGCAATATGTGGAACTCCCACAGTTTAATGAAAATGCCAAGCAGCAGGGTAAGTGGGCTCATACTCCTTTTCACCCTGACCACCTGCTGGAAAAGCAGCTTTATTTACCATTTCATTACAACAGCTGTTACTTTTGCCGAAACAAGCTCATGTCCTGCAGAACTACTGTAGCCTGTTGTTTTTTAAATGTAAGGTACAGCATGGGTAAAGGTTGTGGTGACACTGTGAGTTAAACTGCTGAGCCACAGAGCTCTAGATCGAAAGGTGGGCAGTTTGAATCTGTGCAATGGGGTGAGCTCCCATTGCTTCTGCCAGCTCCTGCCAACCTAGCAGTTGAGAAGCACACAAATGAGTAGATGAATAGGTACCACCTCATTTGGAAGGTAATGATGTTCCATGTCTAGTCATGCCAGACGCATGACCACGGAGTCTACAGACAAATGCCAGTTCTTTGGCTTACAAACAGGGATGAACACTGGCCCTAGAATCTGACACAACCTGACTTAATTGTCGGGGGGAACCTTTACCTTATAGCATTAGGACTACGCTTCCTTTAGAAAACTCTCTATATACAGTCACGCCCCGCTTTACGATTGCCCCGTTTAACGATGAATCCGCTTGAAGATGAGGTTTTTGCAATCGCTTTTGCGATCGCAAAATGATGATTCCGATGGGGTTTTTTCCATTTAATGATGATCGGTTCCCTGCTTCGGGAACCAATTTTCGCTTTACGATGATCAAAAACAGCTGATCGTCTGGTTTCAAAATGGCCACCGGGGTGCTCAAAATGGCTCCCTGCTGTGCTTAGGGGCGGATTCCTCACTCTACAGGAACCGAAAATGGCTGCCCCATGGAGGATCTTCACTGGACGGTGAGTTTTCAGCCCATTGGAACGCATTAACCGGGTTGAGGATTATTAATTAAAAAAAAACCCATGGGATGGAGTGCTGAGGGGCACATTGTGGGCATTGTATGCGTTCCATGCTTTGTCTATTTCTAAAACAGTGTAAGGAAGGAAAAGTTAGCTCCTCCAAAGTATAGAAAGGGATTTCATGTCATCTACAAGGAGGAAGGGCCCTGATGCTCTGGATCTTGAGGAAAGAAGGCCACATGAAAGGGGCCTCCATGGTTATTAAATTAGGGCTGGTCTATACATGCAGACAAATGAAGAGGTACAGATCCAAGGAGGTATAATTCTAGACTGGACAAAGGTTGGTAATGCTTCCTTACATGAGCTTCCTGCATGTAAAAAAATCAAGGAGCTCTAGAAATGATCCTCTCATATTTTTACGGGTTTCTCTTCTCTTTTTTTCTTAGTTGCAGGTAAGAAAGGTTTGAAAGAAATGCAATCATCTATCTGTAAGCAGAAAAAATATTGTCTACATTTCGCCTGTGCTTGGCTCAGTTTCATTTATCCTGCAGGATGCTGGGTAGACAACACACAAGATCTGTGTTACAAGTTAAAACAAAAAAGAAACACACACATTGCAAGGTACACTGTAAGATTGTACTAAATCAGCTAAAGACAGTTTGCTTCTGCGCAGGCTGATTCGCCTACTCATTGGTGCGCACACAAAAGGAAAACAGAGACATCCTTCCATGACTAACTGCCGGGCTTGTTGATCTGCTGTTCTTGTCCTGCTGCTGCCATGTTCTCATTACCACATTTAATTCAATTGGTATGCATGTAGCTCTCTGAAAATATTGGAATACCCTTGCTTAAGGGAAAGGGTGAAAAGAGCAAGCAGCGACTGGCTTATTAAGCAAACTAATCCTGCCTGCAGCATGTCAGGCCTCATTAACAAGCTTCAGCTTTAATTCGTTGGTAAAGCACTAGACAATTTTTTTCTCCCTATTTTGTATTTTCACATTTCAAATTTTAAAAGTTGATTTTGGATTTAAAGGAAGATGACTCAATTTAGCTGACTTGTTCAGACCATCTTTCATTTTCATCGCTCGTTTCAAAATAGATATTCATTTGTAAACTGCTCCATGGGCATTGCCAACTGGGCACTATATAAACAGTTTAAATAATTTGATTTATTCAGAACCCCATTTTGGAGATATTAAGGGACAGAGATTTCATTTTTCATCAAGAGCTAAGCAAATTCAACTCAAAGCTCTTTGCAAATGAATGATTTAAACCTGATGCCCTAAAAATGTGGACTAAACCCCTGTCATACCTTGCCAACATGACCACTGCCTGAAAATATTGGGAGCTGTAATCCAAAGAATCTGCTGAACCCAGGGCTAGCAAACGTTTTCCTAAACAAAGGCCATCTATTTTGAATTGCACAAATGTATAGTACATATTAAAAAAAACTGCTCATGAGCTGACTGGAGATCTGGCACTTATACCTGCAACCCAGAATTCATTTCTTAAGCCATCTCCTGTTCATTATTTATATGTGCATGAAACTCAACTCCAGCAGAAGCTAACATGGCAGTCTGATAAAGTGCAGTTTGGATTGGACCACACACTCAAACAGGACCTCATCATGTCACCACTGCAGTTTCCACAATGGTAGTTCTGCATACATAAATATGTAACAGGACATTTGCTACTGCCTTCTAAAATCCATTCTACTGGGACTTGAGAACATGAAGATGGATCCAGTGTGTAACATTTTTCTTTCTAAATTTTCATAATTTCTGCTGAAAAGAGAAAACAGACGCTTGATGATGGGCTACAATATTTTAATATGGACAGCTTTAAAAATCAGCTATACAACTGGCAACATAGTTTTAAATGGAATTGCTAGAGAGGCCTGAATCTTACTACAGTATATCATTGTAGAATATAATATAAACCATAAATAACATGAATGAAAGTCCATCTCTAACTAATAATCCCTAGAAAAGAGAACTGCCAGTTCAAAATCTGGAGATTCTTTTATTAATTGTACCAATTCAGCTGAAGATGCCGTTATCATTGTATTCCCTAAAGCTCTTTCTCCTCCAACATCTGATGTGGAATAAAATTAAGCTAATTCTTGCTTCTTCAGATGGAATAGAAATGTAAAAGACTAGATAACTGGAAAGAATTATGTGGAAACAGTGGTAGCAACTGCTCATGCCGCACTGGCACTGGCAAATATATTATTTTGCAGTCTAATGATTCTGTAAGAGGAAGAAAATATGTATGAGGCATTGTGCAAAACAGACATTACAAGGATTTCTTATATATCTGGATACTTGCCTATGATTGCACATATTGTGTTGGTATCTTGCAATGTAAATACTTTCAACATGGGTAAACTTCCTCTTTATAATTGGTTTTTGAACCATCACCACAATCTGCCAAGAGTCTCCCGAAGTGTAGGCATTATGTAACACCCACCTTTTTTTAAGAAGCTTGTGGGGACAAGGTATGCTTTAAATTAACAAACCAACTCGTCTACATTAGTGTTTCTAATGCAAACATAAGGAAAAATATAACAATGAAAAAACAGAAGCAAATGAGACAGCATTATATTATGAGTCTGTAACCCAGTCTAGTCAACTATTTTAAGGTCCAGTTGTATTCAGAGTTACATAAAAATGATTTTTCGTTACATACAATACTAGGAGAAATACCAGGAAATAGAGTACAGCAGGGCACAAGAAATAGAAATAAAAATTCACTGTCCTAAACATTCAGAATATGGAATGGAATTCCATCAGTTTGAGTATCCTCATATTTCTTAAATCTAGGGACTGGAAATAAGAATGACCTCTCCATTATCTTCTTACTGGAAATCAGATAAGATATAGAAATGAGGGTAAATCAAGAAGCAGAGCCATTCCATACTTGCCACCACATTGCCATTTTTCCTATTCAGGGGAGCTTGCTCTCGCTTCCAGTTGCATCAAATTTGAGCCTAATATTTAAATACACTTTTCTGTAGGCTCCATATGTATTAAGGAAACACAAGCGACAATTCCCCCACTCTCTTTGCTTGGTCCTTTTGTCACAGTTGAATGGTGCTAGGAATATAAAACAGGGTCTTTTTTGTTTGTACCCAACCACTATCCCCACAGACTACACTAGCTCCACAAACATATGGAGTGGCATGGACCAGCCCACATCTATACAGATTTTCAGGCAAGACAAAGATGCAAGTACATCTCTTACTTCATTCCCACAAGGAAGACTGCTGTATAATCTGTATCCTTCCTGAGGAAGGGTCATACACTAAATTTGCTCTGGTGCAACAAAAAGTTAAAGCAACTTGACAGCTGGCAGTGGAGCTCATTAAGTGTGACACAATTGTGCAATACAACCATTATGATCAGACAGTGAACAAAAGGGAAAATTCTTTCTTGAAAAGTGAGTAAATTGTTTACAAACAGTGCCCTCCAAACAGGGATGAGTATCCTTTTCTTGCAACTTCCTCACAGAAATGCTGACTGCTCAACAGAGACTGAGGTAAACCCTGTCTTCCTTCACATAATATACCCAGAAGATGGCAGCAGCTTCAACCCAGTTTGGGAGGGTAACACGCAAGTTCAGTATATTACCCTTCTTTACTCAGCTCAGCAGATATTCTGATATAAAAATGATCTAAGAATTAACTCCTCTGGTTTGTTAATTTCTACTAGTTAGCAGTTTTGACAAAACAGTGCATTTCATCAGAGTCTGGCAAAGTGCTGCTTTAACTGTTTGATAAGTTGCTGTGTGTCCACATGATCTGGAAATGCTTCTTCAGACTTCTGAGCGGCTATGTAACTCCTTTGGAGATCTCCAACCTGCGGGTGGGCGGGGAGAGAGAAAGAACATACAGAGAAAAGCTGCTGACACACTTTTCAAACTAGCTTTCTTCTCTCTTAGCCAATCTATGAGATAAATTCCAGGCTGGGCCTCTTTCATTCACGTTCTTTACCTCCAAGTTAAGTTAATTTTGACACATTTTACAGAAGCTGCCCCTAAAGGCAGTTCAGGAAACCTCAACAGGTCTCATCATACACTGGCTATCAACTTCTTTTGAGGATCAGTCTGCCTTTTAAATTACTGAACTGCCTAAAATCAGAATATCTTAAAATCTTCGCTCTCCAAAATATGCCTGCTTTAGCTCTTCTCCCGTTTCCAATGCCCCTTTTCAGATCTCCCTGTTATCAGAAGTACAGAGAATGGCACTACAGAAAAGTGCCTCTCCAGACCAATAAGTCTATCCTCATCACAATGCTTGTCTTAACTGGCAGCAAAACTCAGTTTTTATTCCACTTCGAGAACAAATGACCACATTTGCCTTTTTCCTTCTCCCTTCCAACCCCTTTTACCTAGTCCATAAGCAGAGGACAAAGGCTATGCTATTATGAACCACTGTATGCCACTCTAGGAGAGTCCTCTGGTTGAAGAACAAGGTAAACATGCTTAAACAAATAAGCAGAACTTAATATAATAGGAAATCTAACTTACATTACCTTTTCTGATAGTATGCCAAAATTGAAGTGTGGTTCATACATGTGAGGTGCTAGCAATGAAGCAGTCTGCAGAAATACTCTTGCCTGAACAATAACCAAAATAAAACAAAGTGTTGATTTGCATGCATGCACACAGCTGGGAGAAATACATGTATTCATAAATACATAAATTATACACCTTATGTTACAAGATACAATAGGGGGGATTTAAAAGTTAACTCCGTGTGACTTTGATCAAGCCTGCCATTTTCCTGATACTATGATATATCTCGGTAGCATGGAGATTATGCAAGTGGGTAGGAAGGGGGAAGAAGGGGGACTACAAAGCCAATTATCCATTGATCCTAATCAAGACTTCTTATCCTGCATTGTGACATAGAGTGCTTGAACAGCATTCTTCTCTTCTGCTGTGTTGGGAGCTGATGAGCTGGACTGTGGGAGAAAGTGGGCAGTTCTTTACAAACTACCGAGAGAATAGCCAAGGGCTATTGCAATGAAGGGGACCAACACATTAACTTCTCTTTATCTGAAGTCATCCATACTGTTTTAACTTAGAAAGCTCTTGTATGCCATGTCAGACCACAGATCAATCAAATTCAGCATTACAGGTGCAGACTGGCAAGGGGTTCTCCAGCATTTCACACAGAAATCTTTCCTAGCCCTCCTGGGAGATGTCACAAATTGAAACAGGGACCTTTTTCTTGTAAATCTTGCAATTTGCCCAGGACTTCATACTCCTCCTCATGTGGAGCCAGTATAACATCTGTCTTTGCAACAGCCACAAAAGATGGGAATTTTATATAACAATATAAAGCATTACGTAGATATATTCAATCCACTCAGAAAGAAAGCAGGCATTTCCACTTTCTTTCAAAATCCTGTGCTGGAAAACACATGAAGAGAAATGCCTTTGCTACAGCGCCGTTCTCTGCGCCTATGCACCCTGTAGCTTTCTTCTTGCAAGAAGACAAGGGAATACAATTGACAAGTGTTCTGTTTTTAGAAGCCCCTAGGGAGCAGAATTTTCAGCTGTTTTCCCTGGAGATTATAAAAATGGATCATCACAGGACAAAGATTTTGCAGCTTTACACCAACTCTATGCCACACTCATTCACCCATCTTGCAAAGTACAGCAGTGAAGACCACGTGCTTCTCTCCCGAGAATACAGCTGCAAGGCCTGCGCTAAAGTCTTTGTTAAAACCAAGTGCACCCTAGACCAACGTGTACTTTCTGCTCTGTTCCCTTTATGCTAAAATCATTTTAATCAGTGGAGATATTCTGGAACATATGGCATAGAGAGTATTCTTTACAGTTTCATGCACATTGTTGACTGCTTTATAAAAATGTCTGATGGTGTAAGAAGCTAACACTAGCTTGGGTAAACACACTGGGCATGTGGGAGCTACCCAAAGCTGCTCTACTGATCAGTGCACTGAGAACCCCAGCTGAATCCTACAAAGAGGGTGCAATTGCTATCACCTCCTCCAGAACTCCAGTATCACAAGGCAGCAATGGGGGCAGCAGGATGTCTTCAAAGTCACAGGAAGAACGTAAATTGAATGAACTGTTTACAGAATACTTCTTGGCATTAAATTGGAGACACCCTCAATCACCACGGAATGTGGTGTTAGATTTAACACACAGCAGAAGGATCAGTGGGGAAGAGCACTGCCATTTTTGTTGTTTAGTCGTTAAGTCGTGTCCAATTCTTCATGACCCCATGGACCAGAGCATGCCAGGCATTCCTGTCTTCCACTGCCTCCTGGAGTTGGGTCAAAGTAATGCTGGTAGCTTCAATGACACTGTCCAGCCATCTCGTCCTCTGTCGTCCCCTTCTCTTCTTGCCCTCACACTTTCCCAAGCTCAGGGTCTTTTCCAGAGAGTCTTCTCTTCTCATGAGATGGCCAAAGTACTGGAGCATCAGCTTCAGGATCTGTCCTTCCAGTGAGCACTCAGCGTTGATCTCCATCAAATTGGATAGGTTTGTTCTCTTTGCAGTCCAGGGGACTCTCAAGAGTCTCCTCCAGCACCACAATTCAAAAGCATCCATTCTTCGATAGTCAGCCTTCTTTATGGTCCAGCTCTCACTTCCATACATTGCTACAGGAAAAACCATAGCATTGACTATTCGGACTTTTGTTGGAAAGGTGATGTCTCTGCTTTTTAAGATGCTGTCAAGGTTTGTAATCACTTTCCTCCCAAGAAGCAGGTGTCTTTTAATTTTGTGGCTGCTGTCACCATCTCAGGTGATCCTGGAGCACAAGAAGGTAAAATCTGTCACTGGCTCCATATCTTCCCCTTTGATTTGCCAGGAGGTGATGGGGCCAGTGGCCATGATCTTAGTTATTTTGATGTTGAGCTTCAGACCATTTTTGCGCTCTCCTCTTTCACCCTCATTAAGAGGTTCTTTAATTCCTCCTCACTTTCTGCCATCAGAGTGGTATCATCTGCATATCTGAGGTTGTTGATATTTCTTCTGGCAATCTTAATTCCAGCTTGTGATTCATCCAGTCCAGCCTTTCGCATGATGTATTCTGCATCTAAGTTAAATAAGCAGGGGGACAATATACAGCCTTGTCGTATTCCTTTCCCAATTTTGAACCAATCACTTGTTCCATATCCAGTTTTAACTGTTGCTTCCTGTCCCACATAGAGATTTCTCAGGAGATAGATAAGGTGATCAGGCACTCCCATTTCTTTAATAACCTGCCATAGTTTGCTGTGGTCCACACAGTCAAAGGCTTTTGCGTAGTCAATGAAGCAAAAGTAGATATTTTTCTGGAACTCTCTGGCTTTCTCCATAATCCAGCGCATGTTCCCAATTTGGTGTGTAGTTCCTTCGAAATCCAGTTTATACGTCTGGGAGTTCTCGGTCCACATACTGTACTGCTGAAGTCTACCTTGTAAGATTTTGAGCATAATCTTGCTAGTGTGTGAAATGAGTGCAATTTTACAGTAGTTGCAGTATTCTTTGGCACTGCCCTTCTTTGGGATTGGGATTGGGATGTAGACTGATCTTTTCCAATCCTCTGGCATTCTTGCCACCTCTTCTTGATGTCTTCTGCTTCTATTAGGTCCCTACTATTTTTGTCATTTATCATGTCCATCTTTGCACAAAAGGTTCCTTTAATATCTCCAATTTTTTCCCTTTCTATTATTTTCCTCTATTTCTTTGCACCATTCGTTTAAGGAGGCCCTCTTGTCTCTCCTTGCTATTCTTTGGAAGTCTGCATTCCATTTTCTGTAACTTTCCCTGTCTCCCTTGCATTTTGTTCCCCTTCTCGTCTCTGCTATTTGTAAGGCCTTGTTGGACAGCCACTTTGCTTTCTTGCATTTCCTTTTCTTTGGGATGGTTTTTGTTGCTGCCTCCTGTACAATGTTACGAGCCTCCAACCATAGTTCTTCAGGCATTCTGTCCAACAAATCTAGTTCCTTAAATCTGTTCTTCACTTTCACTCTGTATTCATAAGGGATTTCGTTCAGATTATACCTGACTAGCCCAATGGTTTTCCCTCCTTTTTTCAGCTTAAGCTCAAGTTTTGGTATAAGAAGCTGATGATCAGAGCCACAGTCAGCTCCAGGTCTTGTTTTTGCTGACTGTATAGAGCTTCTCCATGTTTGGCTGCAGAGAACATAATCAATCTGATTTCGATATTGCCCATCTCGTGATGTATGTGTGTAGAGTTGCCTCTTGTGTGGTTGGAAAAGAGTGTTTGTGATGACCCGCTTGTTCTCTTGACAAAACTCTACTGGCCTTTGCCCTGCTTCATTTTAAACTCCAAGGCCAAACTTCCCTGTTGTTCCTTTTATCTCTTGACTCCCTACTTTAGCATTCCAGTCCCCTATAATGACAAGAACATCTTTCTTTGGTGTCAGTTCTAGAAGGAGTTGTAAGTCTTCATAGAATTGGTCAATTTCAGCCTCTTCAGCATCGATGGTTGGTGCATAAACTTGGATTACTGTGATGTTGAAAGGTCTGCCTTGGATTCATTCACTTCATTAGCTCTGGAGCTACAGTACTTGTATTTATCCTCTGCTGTTCCTCAATAGCATGTTCAATGCCTTCTGACCTAAGAGGCTCATTTTCCAGCATCATATCTTTTAGCCTTTTGTTTCCGACCATGGAGGGGTTTTTGGCAAATATACTGGAGTGGCTTGCCAGTTCTTGCTCCAGGTGGATCGCGTTTAGTCAGAACTCTCCACTAAGACCTGTCCGTCTTGGGTGTCCCTGCATGGCATAACCCATCGCTTCTTTGAATTACTCAAGCCCCTTCACCATGACAAGGCAGCAATCCGTGAAGGGGAACATTGCCATACTCAGCCTCAAATGAAAGATCTCATCCCACTGTCATCATAACACAAACTACACACAAATCAGAAGAGGAGACTTGCAGATGTGACAGTCAGTTTTAAATTGCTTACAACAGTTCACTCCACTCCCACTATTATTTTGCATTAAACAACAAATGAAATGTGTCTATTGGATATGGCTGTACAATTAAAATTGATCATAATCTGTGACAGCAAAGAATCATGCGGGAGTACATTTGAATGTTGCCATGGTAATTGCTAGAATATTTCTGATAGCTCTGAAAGAAACTTGTTTCTTGGAAACACGATTTAAATAAGGCTTGTACGTTATACTGTTGTTCATCTGGTCAAAATTAAAATCTACCTAAACACTTCTACTTTTGACAGTAGTCTTGTTCATAGCTAGCTGTAGGTTTAAAACACTACATATTTATAACATTTTGGAAGTTGTTGTAATGAGAGATTTTAATTTTTTAATTTGGGTTTGCTCACCTGAAATTTGATTAATATTACCTATTTAATTCTTGTATAATACTGGCTTCTCAAAAATGTGATCCGGGCACCTAAGAATCTGAAACAGTTTTCCAACACGTGGTGATCTGTACAGAAAATATCTCAGTAGCATTTGCCTATGAACGTCTCTACACATTTTATTTTACCAGGAATGTTCAGTGGTCCAATAAAGCTAACAAAACAGCCTGAATCCTATTGGGGATTTCCACTGGCACAAGTGCAACTCTGTATGTTTTAGTGGCAAACTGGTGTTTATTACTTTACTACTTTAAATGAGTTCAAATCCACAGTACAGAGGAGGACAAAAAGGATGATCAGGGTACTGGAAACCCAAATAACTGGGCATGTTTAGTCTTTAGAAAAGAAGACTGAGGGAACTGGGCATGTTTAGTTTTTAGAAGAGAAGACTGAGGGGAAATATGGTAGCCCTTTTCAAATACTTTAAAGATTGTTAAACAGAAGAGGGGCAGGATCTGTTCTGTTATCCCAGAGTGTAGGATGCATAATAACAGGCTACAGGAACCAGATTTAGGCTGGTTAACTGTTAGAGCAGTAGGACAATGGACTCAATTATCTCAGGTGAGTGCTCCAATACAGGAGGTGTTCAGGAGAAAATTGGACAACGACCTGTCAGGTCTGCTTTGATTTGGATTCCTACATTGAGCAAGGGGTTGGACTCAATGGTCTTATAGGCCAACTCAATTACTCTATGATTCTATGAATTAGCAAGTTGCCACTCACATTCTTGGTTGCACACCAAGTTGGATAAATTCCACAGGACCAAGAATGCAAGTGACAACACACTGATTAGTAGTAGCAATTTGCTGTAAAGATGTATACAATTATAGTTATGCCACCAATAAGCCTCCAATAGGATTCCAGCGCTATATATATCTTGAACCCGGTGATTACACTTTAGAAGAAATGTTGAATTCTTGTCCATAAATACAAGACATAAGACCAGTTTACAGATCATTCTAGCACTGTCTTTTTATTTTTTAATGCAACAAGCCCAATGATTACACTTTTCTATTGTTCCACTCCACCACCAAACAAATTACAGTTTGCTAGCCCCTCATAATTCTCAAGCAGCATATGCTACTTGATGCTGTTAACTTTTGGTTTTTTATGTGTGCACAGGCAGTAGGAGCAAAATGACATCTGGGAAGAGAGAGAAAAGCTTGTGTATATGAAAACTGGTAATGCAGAGCTGAGGTTATTCCGAGCTACGAATCTGTTTATCAGACTGAGAATTCAGTCCAACAAATTTGTCCCCAACTACTCCAGACAATAGCTTTCCTGAAACTGTGACTGTTGCTTGACTTCTGTTAGAATTTACACCAACCTGCTCAATGCGACCTTTCTGTATCTCCAATACAGCCAAGTTATTGTAAGCTTCTGCGTGGTCATTGTTGTTGGCCAAGGCCAGTTTGAAACACTGGTAAGCCAAGCTTACATCTCCTAATCCCTGAGAAATAAAAGCATACAATGTGTCACAAGGTTTCTTTGAAAGCTGTTCACTGGCTTTTTCAATATTTTGAAGAGGAACCCTCACACTGTCTCAGCATTAAGTTGTGTTACATTAAATCAGAACCACAGGTAATCGCAGAAGCTGTTCTCAATGCAAAGTCTTACAATCATAGCAACTAAAAGAGACATAGTCTCTGAAATGTTGTGTTCTTTTCTTCACTGAGGGGAAAAATGAATGAAAGAACAAATTAACAAACCAAACTCAAGCACAAAGGGAGAGGCAACATTTTCAGGCAAACCTGAGCGCTATAACTATTGCTTTTTGCCACAACAGAAGACTTCTCCTTAGGGAACTTCTGAATAATCTGCACACATTCTGACATGCAACAAGCAAACAACCGCTTAGCTTTCTGATCTTTAAAACTAACTCTACTCTTCAGTGTTTATAATATAGCTTGTTATCCAGTATTTGCAACCCCCTGAAGTCTTCTGGGCTAAAGTTTCATTTTTTAAAATGGAAAATATATTTTAAAATACTCTTAATAAACACAGTTCTTACCACTGCTACATGCCCCAGGTTGTACCAGACATCTGCAGCCTCTTCCTCATTTTCAGCTAGGAACAGCGCCCGTTCAAAGGAGGTGAGAATCATGTCATATTGCTGGGCATAGAAACAACAGAGGCCCAGGTTGTTAAACAGCTGGCTGTTATAAATGCCCATCTGCAGAAGCCGCCTATTTCAAGATAAAAAAATATTAAACGTACACTTTTGTAGCATGAATCACAGCATGAGCAATTCCTCTATTATCAAAGAAGGGTTATAAATGGCTTCTTTAGTGAAAGGGGAGTTGCTGCAGCCTGATTCCTTCCCACGTAATATAAGGAGGACATAATCATATGAGAAGCATGAAGATCATGAGTCCTGCTACACAATTGCCGGGCCTTTTTATTTATTTTATTTATTATTTATTTATTTAACTTATATACCGCCCACACTACCCAAAGGTCTCTGGGTGCCTTACAACAATTTAAGTAAAATTTAAGTAAAAAAAGATAAAACAATTAAAATACAATTAAAATATATACTCTAGAATTTGCCATCAGAACTCACCGTTGATGTGAGGGGGTGCTGATAAGTATTGAGCCTTTCCCAGAAAAAACAGAGCTAGGAAGCTATAAATTGCAGGGAGTATTGGCCAATTTGTCTGTATTCAATGGTGCAAAAATCAACTACCTATGATTTAAACTTATCTTTCATGTTCAGGTCCAAAGTGAACTTGGCA